TTTGCTAAAAAAAAAAAAAAAATTTTTTTATTTATTTATCCGTAAAAAAATTATAAAATAAATGATTTATCAAACATTTTACATTATTATGCACATTTATGTATTATACGAGGCATATTCGAAAAATATGGGCCGTTTTATCATAAAAAAAACAATAACCATATGAAATCGCTTTTATTAGCACATTTAGTTTCCTATAGGAATAGTATACTTATTAGTATACTAATCATTTCCACTTTTCCACATAATCGCCGTTTTATTTTAAGAATTTTTCGTACCGCTTCACCAGCTTCCTTAACCCATCTGCATAGAAGCTCGCCGCCGGCGAGTTGAACGAGTTTTCAATGGCGTTCTGAAGTTTTTTGTCATTTTCAAAGCGTTGTCCACCGAGCCATTTTTTGAAATATAAGAAAAGGAAGTAGTCACTAGGTGCAAAGTCGGGACTAGTACGGTGGGTTTCTCTTGGGTCTTGGTTGCAGTGTGAGGACGCGCATTGTTGTGAAGGAGGATTATACCGGATGACAATTTGTGGTATCCAAGTTAGTCTGTGACAATTGTGTAGACAATAGTGCGTTCAAGGTTAGGAAATTCATAAGCCAGGGCACTAATAGTCAACCGACGATTAGATTGCAGCTTTTGGTCCACCAAAGAAACAATTTCTTCAGTTTGCCTACTGGGCTTACCACTCCGCTCTTCGTCATGAACATTTATTCGTCCATTTTTGAAATCACGACACCATTGTCTTACCTTTTTTTTCACTCATTACAGTAGGTCCATAAACTAGTCATAACTTTCGATGAATTTCAGCAGTTGAAGATCCATTTGCACACAAAAATCTTATTACAGCGCGAACTTCACAGTTGGCGGGAACAACAACTATCGCGGACATTACCTACTGTACGCACAATTAAGAAAATTACTACTAAATCAAAACAACGCCTGAAATAACTGCACGAGTAGTGCACGTACAGATATGCACAAGTTTAAACGTGTTATGGCTTGTCGATTTTGAAATATAAGCGAACGGCCTCGTAATATTAAAAAATTATAATAATAATAAATAATTCATAATTTGTACACAACAATATAATATATATAATAAATATTATTTTTATCAGTTAATCTTATTAATTCCAACTTAATTAAAACTTATTTACTTGAGTTTGGTCGCTTGCGATAATCTTTTGTTTTGCTAGTTCAACATTAACGCTATTGCCGCTGATTAGATCCATGGTTTTTGAAGTACAAATCTCCATTCCTACATTATATTCTTTCCCAATTTTTATATATACTTCCTTACATTTTTCATGTTCTAATTGACTATTCCTGTCCCAATTTCGGTCTTGGGCAGGTATTGTAATTATCTACAAATTTTACAAAATAAAAATTAAGATATTATTTTATTTATATTCTAGATATAAATCAACAAAAACTTTCTAAACTATTCATACATAAAAATGTTATTTAAAATCATAATAATGATGTTCTTTAATATGCAAATTATCATTCTATAATTTTTATGTTATTTTTTATTTAACTTTCAACATAAAGTTATTTTAGCTCAACAATTAAATGATGTAAGATAACTAAGTATGTATTTTAACATTGATATACAATAATTATTAAGATAAGAGGAGACGTGAGTACAATATTTTTATTTTTATGATAACAAGTGCGTTGTTTTGCGACGTTTAAGAAGTAATTTATGTTTAGGACAACCTTTATAGTTGGAATTATGATCATCCGCGCAAAAGCCGCACTTGGTTGAACTGCCTTTCTCTTTGATGTAACTGTTTTAGGAGTGATTTCTCCCACATTTAACACAACGTAAAGGATGAACGGTCACCATCATTTCCAGTACGGTGATGGTAATAGTTAGCATTGTGACCGTAGCTATGTAATTTTAGACACTGAGGTGAATCACTAGAAGTCTTATTGGGTAATTCAACTTAAATTTTCATGTGCAACATTGATGATTCATTAAGAATTTTTTTATCATTTATATTTGGATTAATTTCAACAAAGAACAGCGGAAGCGTAAGGCCATTTTGAATGACATTCGTAATTATTTTGCGGGAATTTAATTCCAATAGGGCATCTGATATATATAGTGACCTGATGTTTTTATATTGATGGTAAAAAATAGATTCTTTGGTTATATTATGAACATCACAAGAGGTTTCGAGTTTGATTTCTTTGTCCACTTCGCTCGAAGACAGCAAAACGATTAGGAGAAACTAATGGTTTAGTGTTTTTTCCCATATGGATAGGAGCAGGACCGTAGCAAGAGGGTGACGAGAGGTGCCTACACCTCGGGCGCAATTCCTGGAAGAGCGCAAAAATATAAATCTTACATTCAAGTTTAAAAATTACAATGGTCAGTGTCGTATATTTTGTTTACAAAACTTTTAACATTCTTAAAATTAATTAAAACAATCATTGAAAATAATATCTAATAAGCATAGTATTTTTATATTGAAAATACATAAGGACGCATTTAGAAATTTCGTCTCGGGGGCAATGTTTGGTTGCTATGGCACTGGATAGGAAAATTAGGCTACGATAGCAGCGACCGTTTGGGTTTGGTAGTAAGTGGAGAGGATATGTTGTCAATCTTGAAAGTGAAGTCGCATAAATATAATACCGTGATTTGAACTAACATAACTTAAATAAACTAGTGAAGTAACTTAACTAAAATTGCGGTAACTGAACGGACAAATTATAATCGCACTGACATGCATCCGTGTTACAAGCCAATATCAGACTGATTGTTCTAATACTTATTAATTACTATTAAAATGGCATGATAAATTACTTCGTTCACCGTTGAAGATTTAATATTCCACCGTTTTTTAAATGGTACAGTGCCGATTGTGTTCGATGTCTTCGAAACCGGCAAAGCTGGAAATACGAGATCGTAGCTGTTGCCATTATTCTTAGCATCTCCTGAACTAGGTTGGCCAGACACCATTGACACATTCATTATTGTAATTGTTGCTTTGAACAGGTACTAAATTACTTTCCTGAAACAAAATCTAAAAACTCTAAAATCAAAATGCGAATGAATAAAAAAATTTAATTCATTCGAATTCGATAACAATGTTCAACCAGTATTATGCTTCAGAAAATGATTTGATACGCCATATAAATAAACTAAATGTTCTTCTATAAATATAAACAACTAACAAACTAAATCACCAATAGTTACAAATATGCTAAATATAATTTTATATCGATTAATAACGACTAATAATGCAATTTTTATAAGTTTGTATTATCAAACGATAATCGATTGAAAAAATAAAATGTTCATATAAAAATCAATAATGTATTTAAGTATTAAGAAACTATTAAATACCATAAAAATGCTATCATAAACACTCAGTTTTAGTTTTGAGTCACTACGAATAAAATATTTTATAAAATAACATCATAATGATTAATATCGTACAAATATAACTGATATTTATTAAAATGTCCAATTCCGTCAATGTATAATTTTCTTAAGTTTATAAAACTATTTTGTGGCTTTCCGGTATTTTTTATTTTATTTTATTGCGTTAAAAAATGTTATGAAAAATCTTGTATCTAAATTTCAACTGTTAATTATAACATTTTTTTAAATAAATTTTTTTAATATTTTGGGTTTGGCCCCTCTATTTTAAAATTAAAGTTGAAGTCACAATGAACGTTCCTCCAAAATATCATCATTTTGTTGCCCACCACGCTCAAGTAATAAACCAAATAAGTGGGAAACATAATGGAGTTACTGTTACATTTCCACAAGTTAATTCCAATTCTAGTAAAGTTTTGATTAAAGGCCACAAGGATTATGTTGAAAAAGCCAAATGTGAAATCGATAATATTATTATTGACTTGGTAAGTTGTATACTAACATTTATTGTTTTATCGTTAAATTATTAATCAATAATCGTGTTACACAGCGGCGTAGCAGAGGTGCAATAGGTGCGACGCAGCGAGGTCTTCTTGATTTGGGGCCCTCAATTCAAAAGAAAACTGATATGAACAAAAATAGAAGCTTGTGTTAACTATAATCATTTGTTTTGATTTTCGATAGAAATAAATAATGAAAACATTTTTTTTCAAAATCTCAACAACGTCTTTTAATGTTAGATTAGTCGAAATAATTAAACTAATAAATTGAAATGTAATTATAATGAAATAAAATATATTAAATACGATAAACTTAACATAAAAATTACTATATTAACAAACTTATTATTAATTATTGATTATAATTTTTTTAATATTTTGGGTTTGGCCCCTCTATTTTAAAATCCTGTCTACGCTACCGAAAGATAATATTCTTTATGACATAAAGAGATCTAAACTATAGGCCTAAACATCTTTATTCCATATTTATTGATGTAAAAAAATAGAGGAGGTTATAAAAGAGTTTTAATAGTGTTTTTAAATGACTTAAATACATTGGGAATTTGTTAATCAAACTGACCTGCTATTTTACTTCTATTATATCTGGTTTATCTGTAAAAATAATAATCTCAGCTAAGAATGATTGTTATAATTTCAATATCCTACAAAATATGACATGTTCCAATAATTCATTTTACAAAATCATGGATTATGTTTAGTAATAGGTAATAACAATCTGTAAAAATATTTATAAATACAACTACATAATGTTGCTAAAGCGAAAACTTCAAATATTGTTAATAACGACATCAATTAACCAAATAAGTTGTATTTTATAATTTGTGATAGATACTGTATGTTTTAATTTTAAACTTATATGTTAAAAATATTTTTGTCGTGAAAAATACAGTCAACATTTTGTATCCTCTTTGGTTGTACAACGTATTTATTTAATAAGAAATTCTTCACTAAATTAAATAACTATGGTTACTAATGCATTGTTTCACAATAGTTCAATAATAGTGAAAATTCAGCGTAAAATTTAAACAGTGTTTATTACAATTAACTAAAACGTTTTCCATCACTGTGTAATTGGACCATTGGAGATGTACGGAGACTACGTATTGGAGGACAATAAGCCAATACAACCAAAAGCTTTAGTGAAGCGTGGTTACACCGTTGCCGAACGGATTGGCCAAGGAGGATACAGATTGATTTTGACGGCCAGATCTGCGCGGCATCATAGCCGCATGGCGATCAAAGTGATCGAAAGATGTTCGTCGGACAGTGATTTACAAAAGGCCATCGAAAGCGAGAAACTGTTCGCCGACATGTTCGATCATCCTTATATCAACGTGTACCACGAAATCATAGAAACATCGAGAAGGTAAAATAACAATCTCAGTATTATCGTCGTACGCGTTAAGTCCGATTTGTTTTCACGTATACCGTTGTTCCACACACGTTGGGCGAACAAAGTTTGTCGAGCGTAGAGTAATGAATTTTTTCATTCTGTTGGACCGCTCGAACGACGGTCTGAGAGATCGCCGCAAGAGCACCGACAACTAACCGTTTTCGCGTTTTTCGTTGCATACAATCATGCGCTGGGGTCGCTGTAAACAGGGTGTACATGATCATGGACTACTACCCGGACGGCACGTTGCTGGACTACTTCAAGGAGGTGAACTACACGCCCGAGCCGGTGGCGTACGAGTGGTTCGCGCAGCTGTGCTCGGCACTCGAGTACGTGCACGGCCGCGGCTTCGCGCACCGCGACGTCAAGATGGAAAACGTGCTGCTGGACCGGCAGGGCAACATCCGATTGGCCGACTTCGGGATGTGCGTGGCCGTCATGGAGCCAAACGTTAGTCCCGACGACGATCGCGAAAGAGTCGCGTCCCGTCGGCCCGTCAACCTTACAGCATGCGGCACCGTCATGTACATGTCACCGGAACAGTTGTCCCGCGTCCCGTACAACGCGCAGTTGGCCGACGTATGGGCTGCCGGTGTGCTACTCTTCTGTCTGGTCGTCGGCCGGTTTCCGTTCCCGTACCCGACCGGAGTACGCGACGTGAGGCCACTGGTAAGTTCTGTAGACGTTCGCCGAACGGTCGTTAAACTTCGACTGCAAAAACGTAAGCGTCACGAGTAACGTCTTGTAACTGCGTGCAACGAACGAGTTAGAGAGGAGGGACATGGATTTTGTGTGATCATATCGATTTAAAATTTATCGCCCAATCGTTTAGCCCTTTGATGTTTAACGCACATTTATAAATGCATACGGTTGGCTGTTCGCGAGATTTGATTTTCTAGGTCATTCTGTATTCATAACTAGGCTTATGTTGAACACCAAACTAAATTTTATAACGTTGAAAAATACAACTGTTAACAGATATTGAAATGTCAGAGAGATGGATACGCCTTTGAACCACATGAAAAAATACGTCTATCGATCGAGTGCCAATCGATTTTCGGAAAAATATTTGTAGACGAATCGCAAAGAGAAGAAATCAAAAATCTTAAAAAAGATAAATGGATGGTTAAAGGAACACAGAACAACGAAAATTAGTACTTTTTAATTTAATAGTGTGTTCAATTTTATGAAACACGTCTTTAAATTAAACATAATTTTATTATGTCGCGTAACTATAAATAATCTTAAATTTTTACGAGTTATATCAAAAAGTAAATTTTGTTGGACAATAAAAATAAGTTAAGAAATATGTTTAAAAAAAAAAAAACAATTTAATGGGACAAATTTTAAGCTATTTTTCAACAAAGTGGCCACCTTTATTTAAGCACTTTTGACGGAGTATTAGATTTGTATTCCTTCGTCTTAGAAACCTGTGATTACAATCACTTGTTCGCATCTTCTCTTGCCACGTCGTCGTCGTTGGTTTTTGGTCACTAAGAAATTATTTCATGTGTAAAAAAATATGAAAATTACTAGTTTCAGATCTTAAAAAACTGCATCTTATAGTATAAAATAAAATGTGAGGCATGTTTAAACGCATTATTGGTTTTGTTCACGACAATGTCCACCTACACAGTGAATGTGAACTTCTTGTCGATTTTGCATCTGAAGAATTTGATCATCCTCCTTACATAACCATACATGGCAACTAGTTTATGTTTTCATAATATTTTATGTATGATATAATTTCTTAGTGGCCAATTATTCAATGATGACCACATGCTGAAAGAAGATGTTAACATCTGTTTGTTATCATATATGACATATTTTTATGATGAAAGAATAAATAAACTAGTATCGTATCATAAGTACTTAAATAAAGCCATTTTTATTGAACCTTTTAAAAAAATAACTTAATATTTATATTTATTTTTCCAATAAATTGTTTTTTTTTAATTTTATATTTTACTTACCTACTCGAATTTTTATTACCCAACGGAATTTTCTTTCTGGTCACATATGTTACAAATAGTTTAATTTTCATGATGATAAGGGTCCGATAATGTAACGACGCTATTCATGATGTATTAAAATATTTTTATATTTTTATTTTTATTTTATTTTATTTATATTCATATTTTTTTATTTTTTTACAAAAATGTTTTTTTTATGTCTTGTAAAAAACATTCAAAAACATTGTTTTTGATTGATGGATCTCCACCATTCTTCTTTCAATTGTCTTTCAAGATTGGTCATTCCACGAGTTCTGATTCCATAATTTACTTGTATTTGTTTCCATAAACATTCAATAGTCTATGTTTGACCACCTGTACGCGAATCTATAAAGTTTTTTGTATTGATGTTTCACCGACCTATTTCTTATATTTTTGAATTGAATATTATCATAATTATTAAAAAAAAATACATAATCATATCAGTTGTGCGCTCCTTTAAAATTTATGCTACGGGAATCGTAGTATGTTTTCTGAGCATTATATAATGTAGTGCGTATGTGTATGTAGAACTACGCGTATTTTTTCACCAAATAACACTTCACTCAGATTCGTACAAAATTAACATAATAGTGCTTTAGAACATAAAATAGAGTTAGAGATTAGAGTTTAGAGAGAAGAAGAGATCATAAAAAATTTTTGGAGTCGAAAGCATTGGAAATTATTTAGGGTTATTAGTGCTTATTGCTAATTTTAATCCATTTTGAGTTGTATGATAATAAGGGGAAAGATAATTCATTATGAATGTCGAAAACCATTTGTAATGAAATTTTAAACATAATGAAAAACGATTTAGTTAACTTTATTGTAGAAGTTAAACGGTTAAAATACTTCTCTATAATTATGGATTCTACTTCAAACATCTCAAAGATTGATCAAATGGGTATAGTAATCAGATATTGCATTTCATCTTAAGTTTATGAGCGATTTTTTGATCTATCACCAGTAACTAGTCATAAAGGAGAATTTCTGTAAAATACGGGACTTGATATAAAAAGTTGTCTTCGTCAATCTTATGACAACGCTTCTAACATGAGAAGTATATATAAGGAACCCAAAGCATACGTTAAAAATCAAAAACCTTTAGCTGTTTACATTCCATGTAAAACCCGCTCGTTAAATTTAATGGGTGTACATAGTATACATAGACTTCTGTGAAGATACTGTTCATTATTTTAGTTTTTTGCATATGCTATATAATTTTTTCAGTGACTATTCGCAGATGGACAATCTTAACCAATTCGCTAGAGAAAAAGGATAATGAAAGGTTGATGTTTTTAAAGTCTTTACATGACACAAGATGGGTATGCCATTCTGAGGCTTGTCATGCACTCATTATAAATTATAAACTATATTATCTGTACTTTTTGAAATATCTGAAAGCAAATATGAAAATGGGGATACAAAATATAATGCTAAGTTGTTGTTTAAAAATATGTTGAAAAAAGAAACAGGTTATTTGTGTATATTTTGGAATGACATTTCACAACATTGTAATAAAATATCTATTTATTTATAAAGCAAAAGCAATGATATTTTAAAAGCTGTACATTTGTTGAAAAGTTTAAAATATGTTGTTTCAAGTTTAAGAAGTTCAAACATAATCTATGAACGTAGGTTTGAAGGGTTTTGCTCCCAAATAAGTCTTGTATAAAAATATGAAAATAAAAGGGTAAATTATAATAAAAATGTCCTGATGGTGACAATAAAACTTCAACTATACGTCTTATCGTTAATGATAAATTTTGGGTTGAAACACAACATGTAATAGTTGATAAATTTTACACAGAACTGGACAAAATAATAAAGCATATAGTTTAGTAGTTGAAATTTTTTTTATTTTTAACTAGACTACATGTTGAGTCTACTAATAATGATGAGAAAAGTGTTAACAGATTCATTAGTGTATATAATGACGATGTTGATGATACAACAAAGTATGAATTAGTACATTTCAAACAGTTTTGGGATCAGTTAAAACCAACATTTGATGGAAGTGATGTACTCAAGATATTTGAATGGATGACCGAATGTAATATTATTAATATTTTCCCTAGCATTCATATTGCTCTAAGAATATATCTTACCGTTCCTGTTGCTAATTGTACTGCAGAGAGCATTTTCGAAGTTGGTCAGAATTAAAAATAAAAATAGATCTTCACAAACACAAGATAATTTGTCAACATTTATGATTTTATCAACAGAAAATGATGTTCTTCAAAATTTAAGCTTCGATAAAACATTAAAAATATTCGCTACGCAAAAAGCTAGAACTTGATAGATAGCATACGACACGTGTGTCCATTAAAGTTTTTTATTGATGTTTCACCGACCTATTTCTTATATTTTTAACATTGTATAAGCTAATAAGTATTTAAATCCCAAAGGAATCAAATGTGGTTATTTTCGTTTTCATATGAGCGTAGAATAAATATTAAAAAAAAAAAAATAAAAAAAAAATATAGAAATTCATTCATTATGATATCTTGGGTTAAGGATTTCATAATTTTGGCAACGTACATAAAATTTAGCTACACAAAAGATGAAATATATCAATTAAATCGATTGAAGTAGACTTACTCAACATTATAGCTTACTTTCTAAAACATATTGCACTTAATATTTAAACTTACAACCAACCATCCGAAAAATGTATAATTGTGTGCCTCATCGAGTTTCAATTAACTAATTATAGTTACTGATTGATACACGATATCAACATAACCAAAAACCAGTTGCATATTAGTACGTATACGCGGGTATATGCCGTATACCCTTCAGCAGATTTTCGTTTTTCGGCATATACCTAATGTAAAACTTTATTTTAAGGGTATGCGGTTTTAAAATAACTCGAAAACCTTAATTGAATACTACTAGTTCATTGGAAAAAATTGTTATTAACTGTGAAGTTTGAATGAAATATTTATCACAAAATGAAATATTTATTACAGTGAGAATCGCTGTGCTTAATTTATTTTAAGTTTGATTTAGTAAATAACATTTTAAATAATAGATATTATTAAATATAATACGGAGTATGGACATTCAGCCCGTGGTTCTTATATCTGCATCGAAAAAATTATTCAATTTGTAACGCGTGACAAACATGTGGTGTTGTATTTTATTATCTTATTAGAAGTTATAAACATGTAAGGGATTAATTTATTCGAACGTAGTGAAAAGTTATTTTGAGGTTTATATCTATATTTTTTTAATGCGTATACCCTTAAATATATTTACCAATACACCGTTGCCAAATATTATACCGTTTTTACTACTTATCATTTCTTTGCTGGTCATTTCAACTATTCGTATTATCGATAAGGTGTAATAACTCAAGTAAAAGTTAAGTTTAAGTTTATGGGATATAAAAATCTAAATAGCTACACGAAATTTTTTTAAATAATGGTCATTATAATTTTTTATAGATTTATTTTATTTATTTATTTATTTTATTTTATTTATTTTAAAGTATACTCGAACAATTCCTTTCAGATTACGCACTGTCGAGCCATCTAGCGCTACTCGTACGGCGTAAAAGTGATTTGTTCATCTACGACAGATGGCGCTCTTATGACCTTATCTTACTCGTAATATTTAAACACCAATAGTTTTCTTTTTATTTATGTCTTCTAATATACTCGTATAAGCTAAAATGTAGCAATATCATGAAACAACACGCGAAATAAAATATATAGATAGATATAACCATTGATTATAGAATAAATTATAAAATTGTTTATTCTGTAATCAATGATATAATTAAGAATCAGTGAAGATCGCAAAAAAAAAAATATTACTATAATATTATGTTGCTGGGGCGTTAATTAAATTCGATTATAATACGTAATAATATAAATAATTTACGTTATATAAAAGTGTAATACAAACGTTTAATATTTGAACAACAAGAACAATTTTAGTTAGTACTTTTGACGATGAGTGCGTTTGGAGTGTAATTAGTGGATTTATTATGGCATTCGGATTAGAGATGAATCGGAAAAAAATAATTGAGATATGTTCTGTGAATATTTTGATTGACTGTAGCTTTCGCAAGTTTTAGTCTTGGATTGACTACGGTAGTCGGTGGCCTTGGCTGATGGAACCGTTGTAGTGGTTTTATTTTTTGTTGGTATATATTTTGAAAGACGTGCATCCTCTGTTATTTACTGTGTGGTCCAGTAACTTATAGTTACACCATTTATTTTTACGTCATTAGATTCATTTAGTCCCAAAGGTGGCAATTTTCTCAAACAATTGCGTGAAAATGGTTTGTTATTTCCGATTAATTTGCGTATATTGTGTGTGTATGTGTATTACACGTGACAATGACCGTTCAACAATAATATTAATCACAAAATCGTCATTCAAATATAATTACAATATAGTAATTATTTTCTTAGTTATTCCAACAAGATACATATTGATATGAAATGCATTAAATTATTACAATTTATTGAACACGAGACACGAGTAACGACCGAATTTGTAGTGTTATCAGATTGTCTACGGGTTCCTTCGACAGCCGCTCACGCAGTTCCGCAACAACCGGGTGAAATACTATAAAACCGGAAACGCGGACACTGCATCTGCCAATTCGCGCAATGACGTTTCGATCAAGATTAAATATTGTAGCGCTCATCAACGAGTTCAGAACTGAGGTCGGTATTTAATTCCCTGGGTAATATCTAGAAGTTTCGGAATTTTAAACGAAATCATTAATTTTTTTGTAAATCTGTAAAAGTGATTGGAATTCAATTTTTATTTTTATTTTTTAATGTTCGTATAGCACATCTGTATCTGAATATTTTAAACGTTTTAACTCCACCGATGCAGAGGAGGCTGGTAACTGTAATTAATTTTTGTTGAGAAATCACTCGGGCGCTGGGACGAAATTACCGAAAACTAACTTCAAAGAGATTGAATTTACACATTTTTGCCCACTCGAATAGAATTTAATGTTCATGTTTTTGATCCCAAGTTCTTATTATGTATCTGTTACGCTACTCTTTAATTTGATAATCTTTTCAATCCTCACGCGTTTCATCTCGTTAGTACAAATGTTTTAAAATTATATGTTAAATCATTTTATCATTGAATTATTCGCGCCTGTATCGTGTGCGGTAAACTACACTACACGTTACACTAATTCTACTACCCGAATTATATTTTTCGATTTTTAAAGCAAGTTTGGACGTAAATAGTTAATATCTATTTAGTAATTTTCATACGAATCGTCAATGCTAATCAAAAGGTAATGCGAGTTAAGGGAAAATTTATTTAAAATCACTGTCCGTTGTCTTCGTAGCGATGAATTTTTATAATTTATACAAAAATTATGGAAATGTTCCTATATCGCGTTTAAAATGTTAATCACGGTGTAGGGTCAAGTAGGCACACTTGCGCTCCGTAGGACGGAATATCGTTGATTGCGTTAATCAATTCGATACATATAGGTACCTGTACCATACTTTTACACCGGTCGTCGAGACGCTGTCAAACCTACACAGTTAAGTTATTGTAAGTTGTGATTTCAAATAAAATCGCATTACTCTTTGTACACATATCACGGCCATCAATATATATATACATATATATATATATATATATTATCTGGTGTAGAAATCGTTAAGCGATTGCGTACGGGATCAGACATTCATAAAAATTATGTTTTAACAACGTGCACAGCGCGACTAGAATGTGAACACTCTATCGTTTCGAAGCGTTGTTTTATGGTGCACTCGTATTGTTATTCCGTAAGAAGTGTACGGACTTACACTTAAGACTCAGCTGCGGTCGGTCCTCGTGAACGGATATCAGACGAACGCGGTAAACGGAAACGGCAGTGGTGTATTTGGGATAATTTATCAAGGGGGGGGGGGGCAAAATACAATGATCACTTACTGTTACAATATAAGGAAACTTTAATGCAATAGTATATTTATTTTTATATTAGGTTAGGATTTTAGACACCGGTTCAAACTCGTTCAGTTACAATCCAAAACATACTGTCATAAAACAAGTTTAGTATAAGTTCTGTGTTCCTTTTTTTCGTGGCAGGAAACAAATTAACCAACTCATCTATTTCAATGCCCTTGTGCCTATAAGTAATTAGCAAAGCCAATCCAATTTATAATCACAGTTTCCGCAAGAGTATAAAAAATAAGTCTTGGGGGGCGGTAAAATGCCCCTATTGACCCTCCTCCCTCAAATACGCCACCGGGAAATGACGGGAACGGTTGAAATAACGTAGACCACCCTTAGTCGTACGGTTCGAGCATGCCTGCCTACAGGGGGGGAAGGCCAAAGGCGTAATTGTTCCTACTGGGAATTTTGGTTTGAAAACTATTATTCATTTAATACCAAGAAAATTAATTATAACATCATTTCATTGAGATCCATTTATGAAGTTTAGTAAAATATACTTATAATTTTGAACGTATTTATTAGTTAACAATGTTTACGCTTGACTGCATATCGCTTAAAACTAAAAAATCTCTCCCGAGTACCGATTTCTGTGGTATTTGATTTCGTTGTCATCTATTTTTAGGTACACGTTGTTTCGGCCCTTAGAATTTTAATCTTGCCTCAGGTGGGATTTTATCCTGCGGTATCAAGCCGGTTCGAAAACGCCCGACCGAAAGCGTACGACTTAACCGGACGGTATTGCGCTGTGCGCGCGCGCGCCGTGCCGTACGGTTTTATGTATCCGAGAGCTGGGCCGGGCCACGACGGCGGGGTACGCGGGGCGGAAAGGGATTGCGTGGTGACGGCAGTGGGGTGGGGGACACAATGGGCCGTGACGAGCGATTGTATTGGCCGATGCGGGGGTGCGGTGTGGGGGTGGCGGGCGGCGGGAACAATGCACGGCGACGGCCTCTGCGCACCACGACCGCCGTCCGAACAACGCCACCGCTCCCGTTCGCAGATATTGTTCTCGGGCCACGCGGCGCAGTGCGGTTGCGCGTCCTCGGGAACCTGAGCGGGACAAGGGATTTTCCGTTGTTGCGTGAGTGACGGGAAGATTGAAATAAAAAAATTAATAAACGAGGTCCAGAGAATGATTAATGTATTTTATTATAATGTTTTCCGATTGTTATAACCGATACACTGAAAAAGAAAACAATTACGAGAAAATCATAATCCCAGTTCAGATGAATTAAATAATCATTTTTGTTCTTTTTTTCTCTATCGGTCATGATCTAACTTATTTAAAACATCCGTTGAAACAACAGCGTGCTTGTTTAGCCTTTTCGCGGTTCGCAACCTGTTCACCGC